GGCGCCGGCCACAAGGACCGGCCCCAGCAGACCGACAGCCATGCTCCGGAGCGATGGGCACCAGCCCTGCATCAGCAGAGCGTGTGGTCTGCAAAACGACCACAGCCTCCCTCCACTCCGTGGTCGTTGTCTGCAGGGCTAGGCCAGTGCAGGTGAGTGAGGCCAAGAGGCAGAGAATTCCTGGCAGGACACGAGGCCCCTCCACGGATGTGCCACCTCCCTCCACTGCTCCACCAAGCTGCCCACCTGTGGCCCTCCAGCCACAACCAGCAGCCATTCCCCTCCGACTCAGTGGGGCCGCTGTTGCTAGCTTTAGTCTTTGGAGCCCACAGTGGACAGCCAGCGATGGGGGGGCGGCATGGATCCTTTCCTTGGTCCCCTACTTCTCCAGAACCGGGGCACGGAGCAGGGCCAGGGTCATCTGGTCCAGTCCCCTGCCCTGGGGAGAATGCATTCAGATCCTGAAGAAAACACTCCAAGAAGAGCCTGCGTTAAAGACAGCAGGACCCACGGCTGCTCTCGTTAAGGCTCTCGAGCTAGTTGTACAGAAACCACAGTGTATTTGGACAGAAGATGAAAAGCTGGAGTCACACACCACGCTGACCAGAGTGCATTCATTCAAACATGAATTGAGCAAGCTCCTGTGAGGTCCGGGACCCGGAGACCGAAATCGATGAAACGCCATCTCTACCAAGTCCACAGTCTAGCGAAAGACAGGACACAAACTTCCCCACCCGATTTGGGGGGCGGGGGTCCTCCACGCAGGAGGGTGAATTCACCATCCTGCTCTGGGCTAGGAAAATCTTATCTGCTGTCGGAGGCCTGGTGACAGGCACCTAGAACTGGGCCTGGGAAGCAGCGGGAGGTCTGTGCATTCCACCAGGGACAGAAGCAAGGGCACTCTTCCGATGACCATCCAGATGACCAGGCATTCGGTGCCTGGCACTCACAGGGCAGGGCCGGGGCTGGCAGGCCTCTGGGGGCACAGCAAGGAGCTCCACAGCAGCACGAGAGAGCCTCCTTCCCCAAGGCCAAGTGGGGGTCAGTGTCGGTGACTCCCCCCAACCCAGAGCTGGGGTTCCAAGTACAGCCTTGGGTGCTCAGGAGCCAACATCTCAGAGGCTGTCCCCTCACCCCCAGCTTCAGGAGAGGGACAAGAAATTTGGGGGTGCTTCTGCCATGATCCAGCTACTGAACCCAAACCAAAACGTTGAAAACTCAATCGAGGTTGGAACAGCCAGGACGAGGGGAGCGAGCTGACAGGTTCGCCCTCACCTTGCAGACCCTCTGCGCGAGGCTGCTGCCCCCAAACCAAGGCCCAGGCCCTCCTCGCAGAAACCAGCTCCCAAGGGCTGAGCAGTAACTCTGCTCTGACGGTGGGAATGGCCCGCCCAGACGGCAAGTGGCAGCTCAGACCCCTGCACAAAGTCAGAATCAGAACTTGGAACCCCTGGGCCTCGCAGGCCTGTTCTTCTGCCCCTCAGGCCTGGAGGCCCGGTGCTTCCCAGAGGTGGTCACAGAGAAAGATGAGGGGTGCACCTGGACCCCACTCCCGCACCCACGGCCCAGGGCCGAGCCACAGCGGGCGAGATATTGCCACCCACCCCTCCACCAACCGTGGAACAAGGCTCCCAATGAGCCCGCTGGGAGGTGGGCGGGCTGGAGGGCCTATAATTAGTCGTGGGCCTCCCCTGCCTTCCCGCCTGCTCCTCCAAGATCAGGCTCGCCTACGCAGGTAATTGCACGGCCCACCACCCTCAGGAGCGGTCCTGGGCAGGCCTCGTAAGACTCCACCGAGCTCCTGAGAACAGGCCCCTACCTGTCCAAGGAACCAGGCTGACGCTCAATAAACAAATCAAAGCTTGTCAATGGAAGGCAGAAGTCTGGGAATGGAGTGTCGGCCAAGGGCTGTGATTTGTGCTGGAACCATCTTCCCCAAGAGCCCGGCTGTGGGGAGTAGGGAGCAGGGAGGGCTCCCCCGAGATCACGGGCCCTGAAATAGTCATTCTTCCTGTGCACTTGGCCAAGAAGAGTAGGAGGGTGCCCAGAACCCTCGGGTGGTACGGAAAAGCCAGCCCAAGAGTTCATGGCGCAGGGGGCATGGGATAATGGAAGCTCGGCCAGTCAACCAACAGCTTCCTAAGAAAGCACGGAGATCTCTGACAACACAGGAAGCTGGGCACGGCTGGAGGCTGCTGGGGGCGCTCTCTTAAGGATGGGGTCTTCCCCTCTGTGAATGCCCCTAGGGAATGCTTCTGTCCTATCTGAGAATGACAAGGGCAGCTCAGGCAGTGACATAACAGGAAGTGGGGAGGGTCTGTGGCCAGGGAGGTGGGGTGGGGAGGGAGGGAAGTCAGCCCAAAGACTCTGGTCGCCCAAGCGGATACAGGGCTTCTGGGGTGAAAGCCCCTGTGAACCCCGTGCTCCAGGCTTGGGGCAGTGGGCCAGGCACTCAGGGAATGACCCCACGGGCCCCAACCAGGCCTGTCTTTGGCTTGGGTGGGTGGGGCCTTGTGACTGCCTCCTTCCCATCAAGAAGGGTGCCATCTCCTGGGTCCTGGAGCCCAAAGTGCCCCACACAGAGCAGGCCCCTCCCCACACACCGGCGACCTGGCCGTCATCCCTGACGCTGTGCCAGCCACATGGAACAGTCTGGCGGAAATACACACACACACCAGTGGACACAATAGTGTTGCAGGGGCCCCAACACGGAAATGATCGGGGACCGTGGGGATGCCTGGGAGGGGTCAGCCACGGAAGAGGTCTCCTTCCGCAGTCACACCTTAGCCCAAAGGTGACCCAAAGGAGAGAAGCAAGAACCCTACCCTATCAAAGAGGTCTCAAGGAGACACTGGCCCTCCGGCCCCAAATGGTTAAACAAACTCATTCTTCTTCCTATTTCCTGAAAAGGGGCCCCCTGGGTTGCCACGGGGAGCCAGCCAAAGAGAAATGACATTTATGTAAACACCCATGGAGGCAAAGCAACATGAATGAAATGGGAAACCCACATGTAAATTGTAAGGGAATCTAAGGGATTATACGAGAATGGGGGCTTTTTCTCCCTTGTCCCCGAACAGGATTTTCCATGAGGGATCCAAACCAAATTCCTACTGGGGTGCTGTCCCTACAGCCAGAAACCCACTGACTGGACGGCACATTTTTCTCCAGGAAAGGAGTTTCAAACTGCTCTTTGGTGAGGAGAGATGCTCCCCCAAACCTCTGACAAAAGCCCGGCAGATTTCCTGGCAGAGAGGAAACGGAGGGGGACCAGGATGGAGGGATCCTGGGCGGGTGGGGGCATGTGGGATGAAGTTTCAGGAGCAGATGGCATTGGCTCTGAAGCCCCTCAGCCCTCCCAGCGTTGGCGCACGCGTGATGCGCTGGGCCGGCCGTGGGATTTGAGTCTGGGGGTCTTCCCAGAGTCTCAGCTGGAAGGCCCTTTGGATGGCAGGTCCCCATGGAGCTGCTTCCTCGCCCCTGCTCCTTGACACGGAGCAGCGGACCGTCCCACTCCTCCGGCACAGCGCACGCATTCCGGCCCCTGCCCGCTCCGGGAACAAGCCGCACCTCCCCACAGCTCCCCGGAACCCAGAGACGAGCTGCAGCCGACTCCCCAGCGCACGATACCATGTCGGATCCCGCATTTCTAGCGTCTGCTGAACCCCATCTCCGGCCCGGCCGCTGGGCCGCCGGCCCCAACGGCTGACAATCGGTGCGGAACGGTTTTAGGACACACGGCGGCCAATCCGAGTCCCCCCCGCCCCCGCCCGGCCTCCTAGAAGTCAGGGAAGCCCCTTGCGAAAGGGAAACAGGCTCCAAGAAACTCCCCGCCGAGGAGGACCTAACCACTCAGCCTAGCTGGCCAAATATTTACAAAGAGATAGCTGTGGCCGCACAAAGCCCTTTTCTTCTGCTCCACGGCCGAAAATCTGGGCCCCGCGTGGAGACCGAGCTCCCGCCGCCCCTCTCCTGGGGACCCGGGGCTGTCCTGCCGGCAGGGGGGGCCGGGCCCAGGGGGTGGGGGGGCAGGGGGTCGCCCCGGGGAGGCGCCGTTCCCGGCCCCGCCGCCGCGCCCTCGGAGGGCCACCGGGCGGCCGCACCACCTGAGGGCCCCCGCCACCGGTGCGAGGCTGCAAGGAACAAAGGGAGCGGAGGACTCACCCCAGCAGCTGAGTCGGGCTGAGCCGGCCGCCGGCAGAGAGCGCGGCCCGCCCACCAGGTCACATGGCTCCGAGCCGAGCAGAGGATCAAAGGGGCTTTGTGGCCGCGGAACAAGGAGCCTCCCAGAGCGCGGGCAGAGGTAGGAGGGACCGCCTGAGAACGGAGGCTCGGGGGCAGGGCGAGGGGAGTGGAGGGGAGGCCGCGGAGGAGACCAGGGGCGCCCGGCTGAAGGCCTGAAACCAACCGGGGTGTGCAGGGTGCATCCCAGGCATGAGAAACGCCAAGCTCCCCAGCCGGCTTCAGAGTCACCCCCAAAAGGAAAGCGCCCCGGGCCCCGGGAAAGAGCTCCGGGAAGGAGAGAGGGAAGGAGGCTCTCACCCGGACGCCCGGTCCAACTGCCCTGGCCAGAAGTCAGTGCGCCAGCAAAGCCTCCAGTCCCCTCCCCCCAGACTGTCCTCCTGCCTGGGTGAGGCGGGACGGGAGTGCAGGCTGGTGCCGGGAATCTGGCGCTGCCCGGGGGCGCCCTCTCTCCCTGCCGCCCCGCCCAGCACTCCCCCCTCTGCCAGGTGAGCCCCAAATGGGCCCTGACCCCGGCCAGCTCAGATGACACGCCCAGCCCAGCGGGCAGGCCGCCCCCCGGGTCGGCAGACCTCCCCAGGAAAGCCGTGAAGAACCAAAGCCGGGGTTGTCCCGGAGTCCGGGCGTCGGGGGCCGGAGCACAGCCAGCCCTGTGTGCCGTCCACTGCCTAAGGCTACTGTGGCGGAAACACCCCCAAGGGAGAAGCAGCAGAAGGGGGACCGGGGTGAGGGCTAGGGAGGTGGGGGTGGTGCCAGCTCACCCTGAGCTCCTTCTTCTTCCAGGAGCCTAAGGACTCCGATTCGGGCGGCAGCTCCTACAGCCCTCAGGGCCCCGGGCGATGAGTCACCCTCCCTGCAGACCCCGGTGAAGCGCTGGGACCCTGAGGGGGATGGGCTAGGTGGTCCCCAGAGGGAGGAGCTTGGGAACCACGCTGTTTGGGGCTGGGCCTGGGCGCTGGGATCTGCCAGACCCATCCTGTGCCACGACCTCTGACCCTGATGAGTCACTCCCAGGCACAGGCGTGGCCAAGGCAGCCCCAGGCCTACTCCCGACTAGGAGAGAGCTCCCGCTGGTTTTGGGAATTTGCAGAGGCCGGGAGCGAGGAAGTTCAAGTGCAAAGGAGCCCTGAGTGACACCTGAGCAGGCCGTCCTAGGGCCATCCATCCTCCCACTCCCTGGAGGAGTAGCTCTGGCCCAGGCCCTGCTCCGAGGCATGCTCTCCTTCCCCATGCCCACCTCTCCCCCTACATGGCTGGTGGGTGAGGCCCCAAGCACCCACCCCACTGGCCACACAGGCAGACTGACCACGTCCAGTTGGTCCACCTTCCAGTTCCTCAGAAGCCAGCTCTCCCTAGTAGCAGCCACTGGCGGGGCCAACCTGGCCATTCCGCACTCCAGAGGCCAATTTCCTCCCCGCGGCCTCCCAAGTCTCCCAGTTTGCCATAATGGTCAGGGGGCTGCCCTCCTGCTCCCTTCCCCACCCTGCACAGAGTGTAGAGGCGCTGCCGTGGGTCTCTGGGCCCCCGGGCCAAACACAGGGAGCGTCAGGGGAGGGACTGGGCGTCCAGAGTCCTTGTTCCCATCCCAGTGGGAGGGAGGACAGTGAGGGCCTCAGAGACACACACTAGAATCAAGGCCCCCCTCATTCAAATCAGCCTTGGCTCATTACCCAACCCTGTGGGACCTGGCCTTCCCCACCTGTGAAATGGACATGATCAGCTCTAGTCGCAAGAACTAAGACAAGACATGACGGACATGACGTCCAGAAGGAGGAAGACTGGCCACTCAAAATCGACGCTTCTCTTTCCTCCAAGAAGGTGGTTTCCTAGGACAGGAAATCGGGAGGGCCAAGCCCCTCCAGCCACCCCCTGCCCAACCTGCTGGGCCCTTGTCGCTGGGCCCTGAAGGACAGCTCCAACAACCATCACCAAACGACACCAGGAGGGACTCCTGCCATGCCGGGTGTCAAGGCTGACACGGAACCTTGGACATGCCATCTCCACTCTACACCTGTCCTGTGGACAGGGCCCTTCCTTCCCAGCGCTCCCCTTGGAACCTCCTTCCCTGCCTCTCACCTAGCCTTGTCCCCCAGGGCCCACCACCCCTTCCTGGGCACCACGTGGGCAACCGCCAGCTCCCCGAGGCCACTCCCTGCGCTACCTTCCTCCTCCCCCTACACCCCTGCAGGCCGCTGGCCCTGGAGGTGGCCTGGGTGCTTTCCACACATTCCCTGCTCACCGCCCTCCAGATGGGGGTCTCCAAGGGCACAGGAGAGGGAATCCCTGCGCCTGACAAGACCCCCAGCCCGGGGGGCGCTTTTCCAACGCAGAAGCCCTTCCCCCACCCTGGGGCCTGCTCAAAGTTCTCGACTGCTCAGCACACACAGCGTCTAGAGGAACAGCCTGAAGCCCTCACAGCCGCCACCGAATCCCCCAGCAGAAACAGAAGGCCCAAGGCACCAGAAGCACACCACATTTTCAAGTTTCCAGTGGCCACATTTATAAGAAGAAACAGGTGACATTTAATATATTTTACTTAATACAGCCAAAATATTATCAACTCAACATGTCACTCGTATAAATACTTGGGTTTTTTTATTTTTAATTTTTTTTTAAAGAATCTATTTTAGGGAGAAAGAGAGAGAGAGACAGAGCATAAGCAGGGGGAGCAGCAGAGGGAGAGGGAGAAGCGGACTTCCCGCCGAGCAGGGAGCCCAACACGGGGGCTCGATCCCAGGGCCCCGGGATCACGACCTGAGCCGAAGGCAGACACTTCATCGACGGCGCCCTGAAACTCTTTAGATATTTTACGTTCTTTTTTCTTTCTGTACTAAGTCTTTGAAATTCAGTGTGCATCGTACATTCACGGCACCTCCCGATTTGGACTAGGCACGTTTCTTTTTTTCTCCTTTTTAAGGTTTTATTTATTTAAGTAATTTCTGCACCCCCTGTGGGGCTCGAACTCACGACCCCGAAATCAAGGGTCGCACGCTCTTCCAAGGGAGCCCGCCGGGCACCGCTGGTCGCAGCACGTTTTAAGCGGTCGCTGGCTGCCGTGGCTGCCATGCTGGGCACAGCTGTCCAGGTGTTCCCGACTGCACCCTGGGGGTACACCAGGTCCTTGGCGAGCTGTTTATTCAGACCACAATGTTTCAGCGCTATGCTTCGTTCTCAGCGGTGGATGCACAGCCACAGGTGGGGTGCTACAGGATACAGCTCCATGGAACCCACAGGAGCATCTCCTATATGGCTGAGGCCACTGATCCCTACATCACAGCGTCCCCCTTCTGGGATGTGCTGGGGACATTTCTCCCAGATTCTACTATCAGAAAGAGCAGAACTTCTCCAGAGAAGTTACTTTGCTAGATTTGTGCTAAGCATCAGTGAGACCACCACCCGTTTCTGGGGTTCTCTATCCTATCTGGTTCACAGGTGCTCAGGCCGGGGCGAACTCCTGACTCGAAGGCAGCCAGCCACAGGCTGACCAGCGACCCGACCTCACGCCGGGCTCAAACAGGTGATGAGCTGGGCCGCTGGAGTTCCGCCCCCCTCACCCCCAGCAGCCCAGACCAAGGAGCCTTTTCTGATCGAGGGTCCAGAAGCTTGAGGTCACGTAGAAGCTTGAGGGCTGGGAAGTTGTCTGGGGCCATTTGCAAAGGGAGAGAGGGCAGAGTAGGGGGGAAGCGCAGGCAGAGACCCCAAGAAAGGAGCAAGGGAGAAGAGAGCATGGGCTGGCTGAGCTCTTGCAAACCCTGCCCTTTCTGAGCCCAGGCATTCCACGCGTCGACTTCCTTGCGCCTTACGTCCTTCCAATAACCAGCTCGTCCTGCCTCTGTTTACTGACTTCAAAGTCACACACAGCCACACTGATTAGAAAAGAGTCTATAAAGACAGAAAGCAGATTGGGGGTTGCCAAGACCGGGGTGGGAGGGGGGGTGAGAACTGACCGCTTAATAGACATGGGGTTTCCTTTTGAGGGGATGGGAATGTTCTGGAACTAGATCATGGTAATGTTGCCCAACCCTGTGAATGTGCTAAGTGCTATTAACGGTAAATTTCATGTTCTGGGTATTTGATACCATAAAAAATATATTTATAAGAAAAAGAGTCTAATGCATCCTTTTTTCTCTTGAGCTGGTTTGTCGTGTTGTTTCCTACCTGGAGACCACAAGGGCCCCAAGACAAAGCGTGCTGGGGGAGATGGAGCAACACCCCCTGCCTGGAGCCTGGGAAGGTCCCCTGATACGGCAGGAGGAACTCGAGATGCAGAGACCATCCTGCGGTGTCCGGGGGTCCCTATCTCGTCACAGGTGTCCTGTGGGAAAGTTGAAGACTACAGAGAAGGTGACCACATGACGATGGGGGCAGGGACTGGGGTGCTGTGGCCACAAGCCAAGGACCGCCGGCAGCCACCAGAAGCTGGAGGAGGCACAAGGACAGATTCTCCCTTGGGGCCTCCGGGAGGAACCAGCCCTGCCCACACCTTGCCATACCCCAGTGACCCTGACCCCAGACCCAGGGCTTCTAGAACTGTAGGAAAGTAGGCTTTTCTGTTGCGTGAGGCTACGGTAATTTGTGGTACTCTGCCACAGCGGCCCCAGGACCCTTACACAGCCCTGTAATCCTGACCTGACCCAGAGTAAGGTAGGAGCTTCCTCCTACAAATGTGGAAAGAAACACTCAGAGCTAAAAGGAAACTTGCTCCAGGCCAAGGCAGCCCAGAAGCAGGAACAGGATCCCTCCCAGCCCTTTGGAGGGGGGTCTAGGTCGGATTTTCCAAGGCTGTCACTTTTGGGAAACTCTGGCCCCTTCGCTGGACACGAGGCTGCCGTGTAGGGGAGGGGAGAGGGTGCTATGGTGTCCCTGCCTGACAAGGCCATTTCCACCTGCTTGTGAGCAGCACCCACTGCCCTTCCTGGGGGACCCCCACCAGAATGGTCATCAGGGAGGTGGCAGCCCTGGTCAGCTGTCCTCCAGCAGGGTCCTACTCTGAAAGCTGCAGGGGGGCAGCTGGGGCAGGCTCCCACCTCCAAATGGGCCAGTTGGGAGAAAAGCACAGTCTGGTGGTGTCACCCACCCCGCCATGCGGGGACGCCCACGTGATGCCCAGGACCCATCCTCTGGCCCACAGCAGCAGCAGAAGGGAAAGGAAGTGGTCACATGGCATCCTCCCTCCCCTCCCCCTCTCACACACATTCAGGCACGCACGCCCCAGTGCCCAGGCCCCCCACTTTCTCCTACCAAGCCCGAAGCCTGGTTGTAAACACGACACTCAGCCCTCCCACGACCTCTTTTCCAACCCACCCTGGGCAAACTCCCATGGGATGCAGCAGATACTTGCCATCAAAGGCCAAGAAAAAACACCCTTCCCTTTGCTCTGCAGGCGGGTCGCTGGGCTGGCCTGCACACAGGGCAGAGGAAGGCTGGCGGGTCAGCAGTGTGGGGCACCGCTAATGTGGGCAGCCAGCAGGTGCAGCCACACACCCCCCGGGGGGGGGAGCCCGCACATGGCCCTGCTGTCCCTACGGGGACTCCCAACGGCCCCAGAGTGAGGGTTCAGGCAAGCCTGGGGGGCGGGGACCTGCAAAGTCTCTTGCCACAGAGCAATGCTTAACGGGCTGGTGGTTCAGTCATATCTGGTTGACATCTTTCTTCGGGTTCCTTTGCAACTTGACCGAGGACAACAGTCAGGCTGCTCCTAATCTCAAAAACAAGCCCCCTCCTTGGGCCCAGCGACGTCCTCCAACCGTTGATGTTCTCTCCACCTCTTAACAGTTGGTCTGCACTGTGGTTCTATCTTCCCACCACGTGCTCGCGTCTTAACCTCTGCTGTCTGGCGTCTGCCCATCTCACTATTAAAACCGCTCTCCTGAGAAAACGCTCAGCGCCAACATCCAGCTCCACCAGGCTGGCCTGGGCCACCATGTGACACAGATGAACCGCCCCTCCTTCTGGAAAGGCGCTGCTCGGGGCACTATCCTCTCCTTGTC